GCTGAGGCAGAAAGAGGAGTCTATGATGCAGTGTCTGGTGAGAGAAGCAGAGGTCCAAGACAGCTGCCAGTCAGTAAAGGGCAGGAGTGCCTGGCCAGAAATTTCTGTAGAAGGGAGTGGTCTGTATGTGTTTGTTACCACCCGGTTCAAAGGAACAGGACTCATGTACATTTAGTAAATAAACAGTATCACTGATTTGTCCTGTAATTGGGGAATTGTCCTGCCAGGCCCTGAATTCTGCTACTGCTCTGTAAAGGGACAAGTTTATTTATTTATTTATTTTAAAATTTAGCTTTAAATTAAAATAAGAACATAGGAACATAAGAATGACCATACTTGCTCAGACCAAAAGTCCATCTAGCCCAGTAACCTTTCTTCCTGCCCATCCTGCTCAATAGCCATTAATGGGCCTATCCTTCATGAATTTATCTAGTTCTTTTTTGAACCCTGTTATAGTCTTGCCTTCACAACATCCTCTGGCAGAGTTCCACAGGTTGACTATGTATTGTGTGAAGAAATACTTCCTTTTATTTGTTTTAAACCTGCTGCATATCAATTTTATTTGGTAACCCCTACTTCTTGTGTTATGAGAAGGGTAAATAACACTTCCTTATTTACTTTCTCCACACCAGTCATGATTTTAAAGACCTCTACCATATGTCCTCTTAGTCATCTCTTTTCCAAGCTGACAAGTTCCGATTTTATTAATCTCTCCTCATATCAAAGCTGTTCCATGTTTCTAATAATTTTTGTTGCCCTTTTCTAAATCTTTTCCAATTCTAATATATCATTTTTGAGATGGGGCGACCACATCTGTACACAATATTCAAGATGTGGGCATACCATGGATTTATATAGAGACAACATGGTATTTTCTGTCTTATTATCTATCCCTTTCTTAATGATTCCCAACATTCTGTTAGCTTTTTTGACTGCTGCTGCACATTGAGTGGATGTTTTCAGACAACTATTCACAATGACTCCAAGATCTTTTTTTTGAGTAGTAACAGCTAATTTAGACCCCACCATTGTATATGTATAGTTGGGATTATGTTTTCCATTTTTTCCAATAACATGAAATAAAATAAAATAAACATGTGTCTAGCCAAGTATATGGGTGTCCTTGCCATACATTACAAATAAACAAATACAATTAGAGAGCCAATGTGGGTGAAGAATCATCAACTTCTCTTGGTGAGAGATACACACTTTCAAGTTTACACAGAGCTCTTTGCCAGATCTGGAAAACGTACTGAATGTCACAGATAAATACAAAATGGAACAGATTGTTTAGCATAAGTAGTTACGTATTTCAAGGGACCAAAATAAAATAAAATAAAAATAAATAAAACTGGATCTTGGCATCCCTGCCATAAATTACAAAAAAAATACAATTACACAACCAGCAGAACATAAAGCTCCCATATAAGAACTCTGATTCCCCTCAAAAGCCCCTCTCTGCAGCACCTTGCAGTGAAATGGACTGGAAACTTTCACATATTATTTCAAATGGAAACTGCTTCACTTGAAGAACTGTCAAGTTCACATCATATATACCAGGAGCCAGATAAAAACATAAATACTTTTTTCTGGAAGGTTGCACATAACATGACTTTATTGCTTAGAATTGAAAAGGACAACACACAAGAACCAAATCAGAGAGAGAGAAAGCAGGCTGCTCTCTAAAAAACTGAGAGCCCCACAACTCTCCCAACACTAGCTGAAGCTGGCAGGTTGCACACTGACTCCGATCCCATGCTTCCATACAGAACCTCCTGCGTGCAAGCAGGACCAGGAAAACCCCTGCGAAATTAAAGTCATAGATCATACTTTTAATACAGTTTTGAATACATCACAAGAATCTCATTGTATTTAGCTTTCTGCCTTTCTCTCCTGACTAGGATGATAGTGTGGAGAGCCATGTGCCTTTACAATGACTCCAATTCAGCAAACCATCACTTTTCAGAAAAGCACATGCTGAGCTCAAAAAGGACTTATGTGGGTACTTTGTTGAACTAGGGCCTATAACAGGTGCTCTCACATTTTCAGTATATCATTATGTTGACTCTGAAAAATAATTCTGCTTATGAGGAAGGGCAATGCGTACACTGATATCTCTGCTATGAGAGGTTAACTTCTCTTCTCATTCTTTCTCCATTCAGATCTCCCATAGGTATGTTTCAAATCCTACCCTGGGTTCAGTGACCATATGTCCCGTTTTGGCCAGGCCAGTCCCTTTTAAAAGCCCTGTCCCAGTCGTCCCAACTTTTTGGCAAAAGTGGGCATTTGTCCCGTTTGCTCTAGCTGACTTGATCAGTTGGCAAGAGCAAATAGAACAAATACCCAGTTTTGTCAAAAATGTGGGGTGTGGTGCAGAGGAACGTGCATAGCAGCAAGCTAGCATGCCAGCCCTGTGCAGGGGGTAGGCAGGCGACCAGCGATAGCCTTGTGCAGAGGGCAGGCAGGGCTCGAGCGAGTGGCTTGGGCCAGACCCATGCTGGGGTGGAGGGAGAGGCTTGGGCAAGCCCTGCGCAGTGTCCCATTTTCCCTTTGGGAAATATGGTTATCCTAACCCTGGGGGCCAAATGAGCCTTTATCAAAACTATTTATTGTGAATCATAATGTCTAGTGCTTTTAGATGGACTTTTTTCATATGTGACAAAGAATTACATGTTATTTTCAACAAGATACAAGAGAAAGAAATAGGTTTTGGCTACACCTGGCAATCCTGACAGCACAATCTTTAGCGCCACTAGATAACCCTGTGGAGTGTGCTGGTTGTCTGCTCTAGGAGAACATTCATACACCTCAGAGTCAGGCGACAGAGGAATGTTTGATGATATCAGTATGTGCCACACCTTCTGCACTGTGTGCTTAATGCAACAAATGGGCATGTCAGAGCTGGTAATAAAATAACAGAGATACATTGAGACTGGTGCTGAGGAGATTGCTGGAGGTGCAGCAATAAACACGCTGGGGATATCAAAGTCCTTGAATGGCTGAGAGAGACAACAGACAGGAAGAGGATGGGGGTGAATGACAATGTAATGAGTCAAAATCTTCCCTGGAGTAACACCATTAAATATCTGTGCTGCATTAGATCCAGTAGGTCTGTTATGTGCACTCCATTTGGGAAGAAGCAGAAAGGCCTAAAAAAAGTTCAGAGCCTTAATGCCCATGCAGAGGGCACGTACATGCATGGCGAGTTTAGAGTGAAAGTTTTCTTGGTGAAAAATACCACCAGGAGTCTGCAGAGATAACCTGTGGGAGCAGATTACTCCTCACTCTGCTGCTGTCACTCCTGTTGAGTAACGCCTCACTCTACCAGTGGTCTCCCTGGCCAAGAGCTTCAAAATGGACCAGTCATGTTGGGTGCCCAATCTGAGAGATGTTGAAGAGGCCTGAATTTCAGAAAGAGCTGAGGAGCCCCACTCTGAATGTCAGGCCGTTTTAAGGTCTCTCAAGCTGGGCACCCAAAATCAACAGTCAGTTTAGAAACTCTTGGCCATTGAGTTCAATAGGACTGTTCAGAGTGCAGGGTACCAACCCGCATGAGTCAAGCCCACAGTGTCCATGTAAAAAGAAGGCTGAGCTCAGCAGTACGATCATCCTCAGACAGTCAAACACAGCCCCATGTAGACAAACCCTTTTGTGCTGATGGCTTATGTAGATTTTTTTAGTGACTTGTGTCTTTAAGAGTACGTCTACATTACAATAAAAAACCTGCAGCACCAAGTCTCAGAGCCTGGATCAACTAACTTGGGATCGCTGGGTTCTGCCTGCGGGGCTAAAAACTGCAGTGTAGACATTCAGGCTCAGGTTGGAGCCTGGGGGTCTGAGAACCACCCCCTTTGCGGGGTTTCAGAGCCTGATCCCAAACGTCCACACTGAAATCTATAGCCCACAACCCAATCCCAGCCATCACCATGCTGCGGGTCTTTTATTGCAGTGTGGACATACCCTAAGGCACAGCCCATGGTAACAGAAATCCTGGAGACTCTGATGAGTGCAAAGGGGCAGGAAAACTGCTGGATATCCCTAGCTGAGAATTTTCTCTCTGTAGGGAAGTAAATCCTCTGGCTTAGAACTTGGTGAAGTGTTGGCCTGCGTGCCACCCCAGCTCCTGCGGTGTATGGCAGAGAAGTATGAACTGACATGTCTTGAGCATCACAGAACTCCAGTTAAACTGATCGGACATAATGGCCATTTGGGGCCATAACTAGGAGCAGCCCCAGAGCTGGCATAGAATTGGTCCCAGAATTAGGGAGTTGCAATCTACTTTTTTCTCCCAACTGCCACATCATCAAAGTACATTCAGCTGGAACTGGGTGCAGCTAAGCGTATGTCTATGCTGCAGTCACTGGGTCTGATTACAGCTCGAGGGGACATGCCTGAGCTAGCTTTAATTTCACTAGCACAGGTCCTGGAGTTGTGAAGCAGTGGCAGCAGAGGCTAGCCCTGGGAGTAATTATCCTGGGTTCTGGGCTGGTTGGCTTGTATAGCCTGGACTGAGGCTTGTGCTGCTGCAGCTTCACTGCTCCAGGACTCGAGCTAGCGAGATTAAAGAGCGCACAGGCAACTCCTGCAACCTAGACATGCCCTGCATCTGTGGCCCATTGTGCCTCAGGGAAAGTCAGTGCCTCTAGCAGCCCTGGAGAAGGGCAGGTGCTGTGCCATGTTGGACAGCAGTGGTGCTGGAATCACATGGCCTTGCCCTCCCCGAGCACTAGGAGCATGACAGTGAATGGCCCTTTCACCACAGCAAAGGTTCTCATGTGATCTCCCCCGCACACTCATTCCCACACTGGCTGGACATAGTGACACCCTCTCATATTGTTCAGCTTTTCCTGCATTGTACAGAGACACAGGAGAAGGAAGGGAAGGAACAACCTGATGTATTTCAAGGGGGAATAACAAGAAATCAGGTGTCTGTGTCTGTTCTGATTGCTGCTCTCATTTCAGATCAGCCCCCGTCTCTTCCCACATGAGCTACCAGAGGCATGGAGCTACGGGAACAGCTCTCCAGATGCTTGTTCTGTGCCATACTCCTAGCAGCGATTCCCTTTTCAGGTAAAAGCATTGTTGTTAAAACACTTCTCCACAGCACAAAATCCCTGGAGAGACCCTAAACCAGCATGAAACCCCTGCTGGTATCTGTGTTTCAGCAGAGAGAATGTTTTTGTTTGTGTTACTGAGCAGGTTATTCAGGAGGCACTGGAAATCTGGTCCTGGAAGCATCTGGATGCTCTCAGTGCCTATGGAGCCGGCAACTCGCAGCAGGTTCTCAGCATGTTGTCAGTTTCAGACTCTTTGTTAGCCCTGGTTTCTCCAGTGAGGTTCTCAGTTCATCATGGACCTGCAGTCAGTACGAGGTGGAGATGTACAATTGGTCTATTCTGGGGATCTGCTCTAATTCTAGCCATTGGGGAAAGATGACCAATGCAAGAACCCCCACCATCACCACCACCCACACACACAATTTGGCTTGGTTGAGCTTATACCTTAAACTGGATATGCAGCACTAATGGAAATTACATCATGCTCTGTCTATATTTAGACATTTGTGCTGGTGGCTGATGGCTGGAATAGGGCAAACACAGGGTTGAAATTTTAATTTGAATCTTTTGTTTCAATAGAAAAATGTCCTTTTCATAACAATAAATTTATGATTTTTCAGCAGACCTCCTTCCCCATCAGTTTATCAGTTTGGGATTTCCCCCCCCTCCTTTTTCTTTTTTGCCTTTCTTCATTCCCTCCCCTCTTTTCCAATTTTACCATTGAAAAAGGAGAAAAGTGAGAAAAAAGCTGACAGTGCTCTCCCCCCCCACCCAAAAAAAAAAAGAAAAAATCTTTTTTTCAAACATTTGAAAAATGTGAACTGTTTTACAAAAAAATGATTTTTTTTTACTTTTTTCTACATTTCTTTAAACACATTGTATCTTTTTTCAACAAGCTCTCAGAGCAGCCCTAAGATCTCCCAGGCAGGCTCTGGTTATTTGGTATGTTTTATCTGTTATACAATGTCTTATATACCAATGGTGCAATAAAAAAATGTATCTCCATTCTTCTTCTTTGATTCCCTTCTCTCAGCTCAGCAGCTATGATGAGGGTCGAGTGATGTCTTTCCACCACTTTCTGTCTTGAACCAGCTTCATGGCTTCCTTTCTTTTTTTGTTCTATGTCATTGTATGTCAATGCATTCTCAGTCTTCCTCTATTTCCAGTTCCTTGCACTCTGGTATGTATTGCCAATATGGTATCCTTTTCAGGTCCATTCCTGACACATGTCCAAACCATCACAGTTATCCTTCTTCAGTCTTCTGTAACAGGGTTGTTTCTTGCCCTAGACATTTTCTTCTCACTTCATTTTTTAAAAATTTCTGCAGTCTTGAAACTCTCAGTATCCCCCTCAGCCAGTTCATTTCTGCAATGTCTTCTCTTGGTTAGCTTTCCTCATACTCCAGTGTTACAAACCTGCAGCATACTATTGGCACGAGAGTTTCTTTGTTATTGAAACGTATTGAGCCTTCCAGATGTTGCAGTTTTCCAAATGCAGTAACAGCTAGTCCATTTTTTCTTTTTACGTCATCTTCACAATTCCCATTCTTTGATACTAGCCCTCATTTTTTCCCCACGTGTTCTAGTTCTTAGTCTCCACATTTGATCTCTATCTCTTCCTCTTGTCTTCCAATTGCCATATTTTTTGTCTTCCCTGTGTTGATGTTCAGGCTGAATTTTCTGCTTTCCCAATCTAGCTTGTTAGTAATTCTCTGCAATTCCTCCTTGGTCAATGTTATGAGTCAATATCATCTGCGAAACTCAGGTTCTTAATAAGAAGAATGATTTCAGACACTTAATAAACAATAACAATAACTATCAATTACATATTTGCAGAGTATTTCTACTCTTTAATTTATGAAGACAGATTCCTGCCCCACTGCTTGGAATTCATGGCTATTACAGACACCACTGGTTTTATTCTGGACATACTCTCAGGGTACAATTACACTGCAGTCAGTAGGAATACCTGTACTATCTTGAATCTAGCTAGCTTGGTTAAAAATAGTATTGAAGATGCAGCAGTATGAACCCCTATGTGAGCTAGGAATGTGAGTATGTACCCAGAGTTCTGGGTGGGCTTATACAGCTGAAGCCCATGCCGCCATATGTTCATTGCTCTTTTTAGCCAGGCTAGCTAGATTCAAGCTAGTACTGGCATGCCTACCAAGCTGCAATCACTCCTCCAGCTGCAGTGTAGACACTTCCTCATTTAGGTTTGCTTCTTTCAGAGAATTTCGAAGTCATCTCATCCCCAACTGTCACTGGGATCGTCGGCCAGGATGTGGTCTTACCCTGCCAGATCTCCACTGGGACGCAGCCGGCCAATATGGAAGTGCAGTGGAAGAAAATCATCCAGGCAGCTATTGAGACTGTCCATGAATACAGAGCCAACCCAGGCCAGGATGTGCCAGGGCAGAAATACCAGGGCCGGACCGCGCTGTTGAAGGATGGATTCACCTCTGGGAATGTGTCTTTAAAGCTGAAGAACGTCCAATCAGCCGATGAGGGAATGTACAGCTGCATTGTGAAGTCTAACGAGTGGAGCGCTGATGCTGCAACCGAGCTTAAAATTGCAGGTTGGTGATTTCCTTGGGCAGGGTCAGATTTTGCCTGGCCATGATGTAGATGTGCCATGTGGAGAGGGTACAAGGAGTCTTGTTCCTGTGTGCAGTCTGTATAATGGCCAGGCAGAACTCCAGTCCCTGTCCCTCCCAGTGCCCTCAGGGTGCTGAACAGGAGGCAGATCCATGGTGCTGCCCCATATGAACCAACCAGTGTAGCTGCCCAGTTATTCAAGGGGCTGCAAGCTGTGTTAGCAGCCTGTGTGGTAGGAGCTCTGGGGTAGGACAACTCCCCACCTGCCCCTAACTCTGCGCTGTGCCTCTGCAGGACAATTGAATCCTAAACGCACAGACTATGAAACACTGGGCCTGATTCTCAGTCACACCAAGGCCTCCTTATGTTGCTCTGGCAGTGTAAAGGGGTCTTAAAGTGGGCAGAAATGCCCCTCAAGAATAGGTCCTGGGTAGGTCTGTGGCTGGCGTAATGGTTCTGCACCCAAGCCCCAATATAAGGGCAGAATGGGATGTGTTAGGCACCTGGGCAGAGCACAGTGCACTATGGATGTCCTCTGCTCGCCAGAGCCCATGGAGACCAGCTCCTCTAACTTACATCAGAGGGCTGGGCAGGCCCTACCTGGCCCCAGAATACAGACAGAGTGAAGGTGGCTTAAAGCCCTTTCTCTCTTCCATCCTTGCCCAAATCAGAGGGACTAGGGAGCTGAGAAACAGGCCCAGCCTTCTGAGAGCCCTGTCTATGGGCTTGTTTACACTTCAGTACATTACAGTGATGGGAGGGGTTCTCTCATTACAGTAATGAATCCATCTCCCCGAGAGGTGATAGCTAGGGTAACAGAAGAATTCTTCCATCAACCTAGTGCTGTCTACACTGAGGTTAGGTTGGCTTAACTGTGTCACTCAGGGATGAAGCGATGTAGCTGGGTCAACCTAACTTTTGAGTGTAGACTGGCGTGAGTATTGGCATTGGCATGTGGCATTTTGAAGGCCAGGCAGCCGTACAACTTGCCATTTACTGTGGAGACTCGCCATGATCTGAAATCCCCTGGAGAAGCAGGTGAAGAATTTCTTTGAACTCCAGTAAGAAAAACACAGAAACTGGGACCATGTCCTGAGTTAAAAATAAAGCCATAACAAAGGGACAATGCTGTTTCCCTGAAGATCATCCCTTCCTAATCTCTCCCATCTTGTTTTAGCTGTTGCCTCTGTGTCCATTGATGTGCTGGGTCCCCAGGGCCAGGGGATTGACCTAGCCTGCAGGTCAGCAGGGTGGTTCCCCAAACCTGAACTCCGCTGGGTTACAAAGAATGGGCAGGATCTGCAGCCTGTGACCAAAACAGAGCAGGATCGTGAACGTCTGTTCAGTGTTCTGAGCCATGTCACCGTCCTGGGAGAGGAAACTGGAGAAATCAGCTGCGTTATCCAGAACAGCTTGCTGAAAACAGAACAGAAATCTGTTGTTCTCCTCTCAGGTGAGTCTTGTGCATCATACTTTAACCCTGGAGCCACTTCTCTGTCCAGAGTCATGTCCTATCAAGCTCTAGTGTCTGTATTATTGATATTAGAATGTGGCAGAACACGGCTTCCCACATAACTCAGAAGGATGCTGCCCTAACACTGTTAGAAGGGCCCCATTGCATTAGTTGTTGTACAGATAACTAAACTAAGCTCACAGGGTAGGATTAGGACAAGAAGAAACATGAGAAATGGTGAGCTGGGAGGAAAAGAAGCATGTTTTGCATGCAGTGTAGTCTAGTGAATGAAGTACTGGACTGGGACTCAGTATATATATATATATAGAGAGAGAGAGAGAGAGAGATACCTATTTCATAGAACTGGAAGGGACCCTGAAAGGTCATTGAGTCCAGCCCCCTGCCTTCACTAGCAGGACCAGCTACTGATTTTGTCCCAGATCTCTAAGTGGCCCCCTCAAGGATTAAACTCACAATCCTGGGTTTATCAGGCCAATGCTCAAACCACTGAGCTATCCCTCCCCCACCAAGTAGACTTGCATTCTGTTCCCAGCTCTGCTACTGGCCTCCTGGGTGACCTCGGGCAAGTCACTTCTCCTCTCTGTGCCTCAGTTTCCCCATATGTAAAATGGGGATAATGATGCTTACCCCCTTTGAGATCCACTGATAAAATACACTATGTAAGAGCTAGAGATGATTATTACTAATAATCAGTCATTTCAGCTCATCACCCATCTCACCGTTCTGGTGACTTATTGAAATTTGGATAAATTAACCAATTGTTTAGTGGCAATAGGAGACCAACTTCTAATTTTTATTCTCACAAGGCATCTCTCTCTAAATCTGACTCCTATTCACTTGTGTGTGCTAACCAGCAATGGATACTGGACAGCTTCAGACTCCAAACTGGTATGAAATAGCACCCAGTCAAATGTCAGGAATCACTATATTGGGGTACAATTCCCCCAGTGCAGAAGGCCAGAACAGGGCCTATGAACCATGGTAGTCCTACATAAATCCAAGAAGCCTTGAGCTGGCCACCTACCCTGGGGTGACTGTTACCTCTGAAGAAGGTGCAGTGATGTTCATTGATCATTCACTCAAGGCAGGGGTAGAATCTGATTTTCTTGATCTTGGCATGTGAAATCTAGACTCAGAGGGCCAAATCCTCAGATGGTGTAAATGGTGGTAGTTCTGCTGACTTCAATAAAGCTATGCTCATTATATTAGCTGAGGATCTGGCCCATTGACTCCAATGGAGCAGTACCAATTTACATTAGCTGGGACTCTGGTCAAGTGTCTTTATCATTGCCCAAATTTGCTAAGGACCCAGGAACAGATTACGATGCCAACACTGAATTTGAAGTTAGTCCCATTGGTTTTAAAGAGTAAGATACAATTCACTGTAAGAAAGGGTGTCAGAATCTGGTCTACAGAAAACAGGCAGTATAAGAGCAGGAGTGAATTTGGGATATCCAGTCTGGCAGCTCTCCTGCTCAAGGGCTAGATTTTCAGCTGGGTATATCAATGGCATTTACGTCAGTTGCGGGTCTAGCCAATATTCTGTACTGCAAAAACCAGTCAACTCCTATGCTTCACACATCCATGGAGCCTAACCCATTGTTCCTCTAAGCACGGGAAAAAGACGGCCTGTTTCCAGGATGACTTTTTTTTATATATATTGTTTTCAAAGGTGATATTTTCCCTCATGGTTCTCCATGGCTTGCTGCATTCTGGGTGTTATTTACTTTAGACCTTCTTGTGATTGGTGCCTGTGCATTTTGGGGTTATAAAGGTAAGTTCATTATTTGCATGTTTAAAGTCCCTCCACAAAGCGGGAAATAATAATCATGAAATTGTAATCAATTGAAATCCAAACATCAAACTAAATGTAACTACAATGTTTATTGGTGCTCAAAAAGGCTTCAGGATTTTTAATTAATCAATTAATTAATTTAAATGTTTGTTCATCTCTGATTAACATCTAGTACTAGAAGAAGAAATTTTTAAAATTGTCTGTTTTAGTATTTTGAATAGGGAGATTCTATTATTTCTGTATTTGGCACTGGTGTGACTGCTGCTAGAATCCTGTGTCCAGTTCTGGTGGTCTCAATTCAAAGAAGGATGTTGATAGACTGGAAAGTGTGTAAGAAGAGCCACAAGAATGATTAAAGGATTAGAAAATATCTCAATCTGTTTAGTTTACCAAAGAGAAGGTTAAGGGTTACTTTATGGCACATTCTATAACTTACACGGGGAACAAATATTTGATAATGGGCTCTTCAATCTAGCAGATAAAGGTACAAAAAAATCGAACAACTGGATGTTTGAGCTACACAAATGTAGACTGGAAATACAGCATACATTTTTTAAAAGTGAGGGTGATTAACCACTAGAACAATTTACCAAGAGTTGTGGTGGATTCTCCATCACTGGAAATATTTAAATCAAGCCTGGGTGTTTTTCTAAAAGATCTGTTCCAGTTCAAACAGGAATTTTTAGGAAGAAAGTTCTCCGGCCTGTGTTATACAGACTAGATGATCACAGTGGTCCTTTCTATCTTTATAATATATTAATCTACACATTTCATACAAAATTAAAAGGAGGGAGGAGAGGCACAATGTTGAGGCCTGATCCTGGAAAAAAAGCTATTGTGCATAGTGCTTACTGCCATGGATAGTCCAACTGACTTCACTGGGCTTTAATGAGATTACTCACAGTAGTAAGCACTACACTTAGGAATGCAGCTTGTCAGATTTTTTTTTCCCCATCAAAATGTGGTCCTTTTTAAAGGATTATTTTTACAAAAATGTTTCATTTTTTTCAAAATTTTCCAATTTTTCAGCAGTCTGTAGATCATTAAAATTAGCCTGTTGTTTGTTTTACAAATTATTTTTTCCATTTTTATTGATTAGTTGTTTTTGTATTATGGATTTTGACTGGTCACTGAGAGACACGGTACATTTTTTTTCAATATCAGAAAATTTCATTTTAAAATATTTCTGCATCTAAAATCAAAACAATTTTGATTGAAAAATATTTTGACAGAAAATTTGGAAAATAAAACAATGGACTCTCATAAAACACAGCATAATGGAAAATGTTTTCAGATTTGCCAAAACGTCAGCAGCATTTTGTTATGTTTTTCAAACATCTCTAATTGTTTGCAGGTCTGAATACATGTGTAATCAGAGGAAATATTACTCTAATACAAATTCCACAATTCATGGGCATGAACAATTTCAGAAGAAAAGACGCTGCTAAGAAGCAGTTTGACATTATCAGTTCAAAATACTTTTATGCATATTGAAATGTCCTATATCATTAGAGTGTACATCATTGATGCCTATTTCCACAAGTCTCAAATTGTTCATGAAGCATTTTATATTTCTTGTCCCTCCCCTTCTCTTAAACCTTCAGCTTCCTCTGTATTTAAATTCTTCCTTCTGCCAACCATGCATAGTATGACAAATGTGCACTGTACTTATCATCTTTTCTACTTCAATAGTTCAAGCACTTTGGTGAACATCTGTTTTATTTGTATCTCTTTGGCACCCAAACAACTTACTTAGCACACCAAAATCTTTGATTTTTAATCTTATAGCAAAGCAGAAGGATTCTGAGAAAAAAAGATCAAAAAAAGAGACTTTCTTAGAAAAGGGTAATGTATTTCTCTTTCTTAAGTTATCTTTATTATGTTTATACTCAGTTTTGACATCTCTATTTTAACTGGAATGAATTTTTCTGGAATGATTTTTAAATATATAACTCTTTATCTTCTACCATAATATAAAGCATTTAATAAAGTTATTAAACAAGACAATTTATTTTTAATATCTATTTTGCTCATAAATTGAATCAAATGTCTATTTCTTCCTGGGAAATCTGTCTCCGCTGCTGCTTACATGTTGTATGATAAGGCCTGTGCATCCTGACAGCTTCCCTTAAATGTCTTATGACATCAAATAAATGTCACTAAGCCAGATGACAATGTGTCAGTCATTGCATTGATCTCAAGGTGCATGTGTAAAAATAAGCTCATCTCACACTCTTTCAATGATATTTTGTCCTCTTTCCATATCCCCACCTATTTTTACCCCATGTTTTATTAAATCTATGTTAGGGGCTGATCCTGAAAAGCTTTATTTGCCATATTGCACCCCCCCTACTATGAAATCAGGGAGGTGTGAGTATGCTCAGGGTCCTTGAACAGTATCCTCAGAGGCAAAAAGAGGAAGGATGATGAATCCCAAGTTCATGGGGCACATGACTTATGAGGAGAGGCTGAAGGAACTGGGCTCATTTAGGCTGCAGAAGAGAAGAGTGAGGGGGGATTTGATAGTAGCCTTCAACTACCTGAAGGGGGGTGCCAAAGAGGATGGATCTAGACTGTTCTCAATGGTACCAGATGACAGAACAAGGAGTAATGGTCTCAAGTTGCAGTAGGGGAGGTTTAGGTTGGATATTAGGAAAAACTTTTTCACTAGGAGGGTGGTGAAGCACTGTGTTTGGTGCCTGCAAAAGAATTCCCTCCAGGATCTGTGATCAGTATGAAAAAAGCAAGGACTCAAGACAGTGCCTTCAAAACCATGTATTGTTTGTTTACCCATGGGAAGATAGCATTCAGAGAGAGAAAAATATATTCAGAGAGATTAATGTAACTGGTAACTTTCCTATCAATCATAACCTCCAAGAACATTCTTGGAGGTGTTTTGTATCAACTTTGTATTACAAATCATCACATAGTTCTATAGTAACGTGTCATTCTCTCCCATGCAGAAACTGAGAGGAAGGCATTGGAATCAGGTACAGTAAAAATTGCTTTCAGGACTGAGAATGTCAGATATGGGTTTTCACACTATGATTCAAGAGAAACAATGGGACATAAATACTGTGACATGTTCACAGACAGTACAACATAGTGCAGGGGGTCTGGGGTAGATGCCAGGAGAGCCAGGGCTGTAATTCTGGCTCTGCCATGAATATCCTGTGTGACCTTACACAAGTCACTTATCCTTTCTGCCTCAGCTTCCCCATCTCTAAATAGGGAACATAATACTCATCTACTTCCAAGGAGTGTTGTGAGGATTTGTTTGTAAAGACAGATGGGTGCAGTTCCCTCCTATGCAGAGAGCCAGTGCAAGACCTACACACCACTCAAATAGGACTTAAGTGGAACTTAAGTGACTTAAATGGTGCATAGGCATCACATGAGCCTTCTACCACTGGGTTGATTTCACCCTAGATAAGTATTATTAGTCTGAGAAGCCACCTGCAGTTTGGAAGAGCAAAGAAAAGCACCTGACAGGCAAGAACAAGCATCTAGCACTGTTCATTATTATTAATATTACTGTGTTTTAACTGTAGTCTCTTAAAAGCACCTCCACAGTATCAGAAATTAATTGCAAATCTTTCTTTGCAACTAAATCCACTTAGACTTTCCTATCACAGACTAGTTCCTCTGGGAAATCAGTGCTACAAATACATTCCACTTTGGGTGGGGGGGGAAGGAGGAGAGGGGGAGGAAGCAATCAATTCCCTAAGTTAAAAATTAGGCAGTGTTCAAACTTTTACATGTAAATAGGTCATGGCCTTATCTACATTAGAAAATTTTTTGACAGTATAGAAATCTAGTGGCTAAGGGTTTGATATTTTTATGAGATTACTGTAACTGTAGATGCAGTTATACTGGCCAAAAAAAAATGCTTTTGCTGGTATAGCTTATTTTACTGGCTGAACCACAGTAAGCTACATTTTTTGCAAGCATAACTAGGGCTTTTGCTGGCATAACAGTGTTGTAAAAGTATCACTCCCCTCATTGATATTGCTGTACCAGCAAATCACTCTAGATCTGTCCTATAGAAGGCTATGTCTACACTAGACATGCTACAGTAGTGGAAGGGGTTCTTCCATCGCTGTTGTAAACTACCTCTCTGAGAGACAGCAGATAGGTTGATGGAAGAATTCTTCTGTCAAGCTAGTGCTGCCTACACTGGGACTTAATTCAGCTTAATTATGTCTCTTAGGGGTGTGAATTTTTCACAAACCTGAGTGACACAGCTGGGTCAACTTAATTCTCTAGTGCAGACCAGTCCTTAGATGTAACAATTGATTGTTTACCATTTTTATAGAGATCATTAGTTTTGCCTTTTTCTATCCAGAGAATCAGTATATGTATTTCTCAGCATGAGCTGAAATTTCTGTTTTAAAATATCAAACTGATAATCAAAGCTTTTTCTTTGTCTTTTTCCTTTTACAGAGTGTCAGGATGTGCGGGAACGACTTGGTAGGGCTTGTTTTATGGTACATAATTAATAAGCAGCTATAATTGTACAGTGTAGATTGAATTATGGGGAATTTGGAAACACAGGTATATAAGGGGATTCTAGGGATATTATATTAAACAGTGAGTAATATGTAGTATCAACAGACCTTAGATATAATTTTTTCAGTATGCTTGCTAACAGTCTACCTTCTCCCCCCTACATCCTTCCTCTCAATGTGTAATCTAAAAACTAATGAAAAAGTTTCAGCTTGGTGACTGTAAATAATCATATCATTAAAACTACTGAACTTGAGTTCCTTCAGACTTGATTTAGTAACTCCTCAACATCAAGCTATGTTTAAAGATTACATTCACTGTTGTGGCAAGGCATCTCCTTCACCCATTGGACTCAGCGCTTTCCCCTCTGGCAGGGGGCGGCGGAGGGCTGGAATAAATCAGCCCCAATCCAGACAGATGGTGTTTTGGGATTTATTTCTTACTATTTTCCTGATAGGCCTCAGGGCAAGTCCAAGGTATGCTCTTGCACCAAACAAAAGAAACAAATTCACAACTTAAAACAAAGGGGAATGACTTTCCCTACCTTTTTTCTGGTCAGGGATAGGGGGTCCTTGTTATTGGCCCCAGGGTGGCCCATCCTTTTCCTAAACAGGCAGTCAGGTAGCTAGCTTCCCCTGTGAGGAGGAGGAGCACAACCTCCCACCCTAAAAAAGTGTTTCTCCTTGCTGTCCCTAGCCAGCACAACTTGTCTCCCTTCCCTCTATTCACCAGAAGAGGGGTGTTCAAAGGTCTCAGTCAGCCCTTCATTAAACTCAGGTGTCGCTTGTTGACGTGAGGTAACCCCTTTTCGGCTTATAGGGAAAAAGGGGCCTTTATCATTCTACGGCTAATACTAGGGTGACCAGATATCCCAATTTTATAGGAACAGTCCTAATATTCATGTCTTTGTCTTATATAGGTGCCTATTACTCCCCATCCTCTGTTCTGATTTTTCACACTTGCTATCTGGGCACCCTAGCTAATACACCTGCCTTCTATCACTCTCTTACAGCTGTCCAGCCTGACTTTTACTGTAATTTTCTGTATGTAGGAAATTCCTATTTGTATTAAAATACATGTTATTAATTGATAAACAATTTATAGTCATGTAAAGGGAGTCCGTATTTTAAAGCTAGAGCACTGGAAGAAGAGCAACGGTTTAGCCTTTGGCTTCAATTCTGCATTTCCTGACTTTTAAGTGCCTGATTTCTCAATCTCACCATTGCAATAATGATATTGATATTTGTACTGAATATTTTATATAACTTGCATATAATTATGGCTCCCCTCACCCTAGCATCAGGGTGCTTTAAAGTAAATTAAAAAGAAATACAAAATATCTTCTGTCCCTTTATCTGTCCATTTATAATAAACCAATTTACAATAAACCTGGCTCTGAGGAAAATAGCAGTAAATATTGTCAAGTGCAAAATTAGCTACTGAGTAAATTTAACATTTTCTGAGCCAAAGGCACTGCTTTTACCACTATTACCCTGGGTGATTTGTCTAAATCTGGTAGATTCTCCCCAGATCACCTATTGGAGGAAGGTCCCTCGCTCCTAACAGAAAAATAATCTGGGAAATAGCCTAGCTCACAGCACAGCCACAGAAAATTCAGGGAAAGATATGACTGTCCCCCTCCCCTTGGAGAGGAACAGAATTTAAGGGAGACTCTCAGACTCCAGAAGTTCAAATGGGAAAACCAAAAGCAGTGGTGCTCTTCTGAGCTCCAGCCACTTGGAGCAAATTGATGATTTGTGTAATAACGGATAAATCTGTAGAATCAGTGAATAAATTGCATTTATTCTGGAACTCTGGGTCCCTCACCTGTGCTCATCTACCTCTCCTTGGACTACATCTACAATAGCAAGACTCTGAGAAGCCAATGGAGATGAGCTACAGCAAGGACTGAAGCTTTAACTGTATATAAATAAAGCTATCATAGATTTCCCTTTCGTTTTTTCCCTGTAATGTGTTTCAAGCAGCCTGTGTCTCTTGTTCACTCCCTTGAGATTTTCAGTGAGAAGAGACAATCTAGCCCTCAGTTTGAAAATCTGTATTTATGCTGTATGAAATCTAAATTAATTTAGTTTTATTTTTCCTACATTTATGGAAACATCCAGTAAACTGTGCCCTTTGCTCTAATAAAAGTAAATATCTTTTCATTTCAGACAGAGCAGTCACAGAACTAGGTAAGTAAAGCCATTTTTTGCTTCATGTCTTTTTATATATAACATTGACACTCCAGAGGGGTCAGCAACAGGGTTTGAAGTTGGAGTTTCGTGCAGGAGCATCTGCTGCCCAAGCTAAAAAGCCTAGTTCCTTAACCAAGTCTGTTACAGGTTTATCCAGTTTGAGGTGCTTAGCCAGCACTAGAGTGAGACAGAGTGCTACATAGACACAAATCCTACTCTGAGCAGAAGCAATATCTTCTCTCAGTGCTGCAGTGCTCGCAACAGAGTGGCCCAACAAACCGGGGTCTAGACAGTCAAATGTCTGCCCTAGGGTGACCAGACAGCAAGTGTGAAAAATCGGGATGGGGGTGGGGGGTAATAGGAGCCTATATAAGAAAAAGACCCAAAAATCGGGACTGTCCCTATAAAATCGGGACATCTGGTCACCCTAGTCTGCCCCCAGCTTCCTGAGGAACTTTGGAGAAGGCACTCCCAGTTTCTGGATTTCAGATTCCCCATTGGGAAACAAAGACTGATATTGGTTGAGTGGAAATTCAGGGCTTTGTGGGGTGGTTCTGCTTACAGATGAGATCAGTGACCCAAAGCCTAGGTAATACCTGGTGTAATCCATTTAATTACAGAAATATACACAAGTCCTGCTGTTTCTCTGAACAGCAGTGTGAACATACAGCACACAAGCCTTTGCCAAAATCCCACACCAGACATTCCAGCTAGTCCTGTGCCCGAGAAACCACTACCCCTCAGCCTCTGCTTCCTCACCTAGGTCATACACACAACTCCTGCTGCTTATTTACTGCAACTGCTTAAACACACAGCCTTCTGATAGGCCTCAGCCTCTGTGTTTCCTTCTGAGGAGAGCCCATTAGCCCTACTCTCACCCCCTGGCCACATGGCTTGTCAGTTCTCTTGGACATTAGTTCCTCCCTTTATATCCAGCTGTTTTGCATCACTGAAGAGTTGTTCCTACTGTTAGAAACAAAGGTTTTAGCCACCCACCCCATTTATTCTAACAATCTCCATGGTTGCAGGGTTGCCAACTTTCTAATCACACAAAACTGAACACCCTGGCCCTGCCCCTTCCCCAAGGCCATGCCCCCCACTCACTACATTCCCCTTCCCTCGGTGGCTCGCTTTCCCCCACCCTCACTCACTTTCACTGGGCTGGGGCAGAGGGTTGAGGTGTGGGAGGGGGTGAGGGCTCTAAGTGCGGATGCGGGCTCTGGGGTGGGGCCAAAATGAGGGGTTCAGGGTGTGGGTGGGGGCTCTGGGCTGGAGCAAGGGGTTGGGGTGTGGGAGGGGGTGAGGACTCCCGCTGGGGGTGTGGGCTGTGGGGTGGGGCCAGGGTGAAGGGTTTGGGGTGCAGGAGGGGACTCCAGGCTGGGGGTGGGGCAGAGGGGTTCAGGGTGTGGGAGGGGGCTCTGGGCTGGGGAAGGGGGTTAGGGTGCAGGGGGCGGTGAGGGCTCCATCTGGGGGTGCAGGCTCTGGGGTGGGGTCGGGGATAAGGGATTTGGGATGCAGGAGGGGGCTCCGGGTTTGGGGGGGCTCAGGGCTAGGGCAGGGGGTTGGGGCTCAGGGTTGGGGGGGCTCACCTCTGGCAGTTCCCAATCAGCAGCGCAGTGGTGGGGGGGCTAAGGCAGGCTTCCTGCCTGTCCTGACTCTGCGCTGCGCCCCGGAAGCAACCAGCAGGTCCAACCCCTAGGTGGAAGCGCGACAGGAGGCTCGGCACAATGCTCTCACCTGCAGGCACCGCCCCCCGCAGCTCCCATTGGTCACGGGTCCTAGCCAGTGCGGAGCGGGTGCTCGGGGCAGGGAAAGCATGCAGAGCCCGGTGGCCCTCCCGCCTAGGAGCTGGACCTGCTGTCTGCTTCTGGGGTGCAGCGCGGAGCCAGCACAGGTAGGGACTAGCCTGCTTTAGCTTCGCAGCACTGCCGACTGGACTTTTAATGGCCCGGTCGGTGGTGCTGACCGGAGCCACCAGGGTTCCTTTTTGACCAAGCGTTCCGGTCAAAAACCCGCACCTGGTCACCCTATGTGTTTGTCTTCCCTCCAAGACCCCAATGGCAGACTGTCAGCACCTTTCACTATAACAATATTCACTTTCCTTTATACAGCACTTTGAGATCTACAGATGAAAGCAAAAATATGAGAGTTAAAGTAGTTGTAGAGCTACAGGCTAGTTCTTTCCTGTTGCAAGTATTCTCACTGGAGTCAATGGGACTTTTCCTGAGTGAGGACTGGAGAAACTTGCCAAATATGAATTCTCACAGTCTTGAGTTCCATTAACTTGGTGATTCTCCTTTTGCAGATTTCAGGAGGGCTCGGAGCTACATGGGTGAGTTTAACTCTGTAATTAGACTGCCACCTTATTAGGGCTCTTTGTCCAGACTCCGAGGGAGCAGGAGATGGCAATGATATATGAAGGATTAAGGGACTTAAGGTCTAGATATGAAGGCAGGGTCTATGCTAATAGCAGATACTAACATTTGTAGGAAGTTTCTTTCTTTCTTTTTTAACTCATACAGTCAAAAAGCCGGTATTTGTACAACAATCAAATATGAGTTGTATATTTCTGTTCTTTTTAATCAAATGAGTGGGATCTATTGATAATTGTACAGCTCCTTCAGCCCAGATCTAGTGCTTTTCATACACTAAAATAAAGAAAATAAGTTTCAAATATATCCCTAATGTGGGGATGCCACTATCTTGATGCAGGAAGTAAAGGCTGGAATCTAGTTTCCTATCACAAGTAAAACAGGGGGGACTTCTTACTTTAATTGTTACTTAAAATATTTGCCTTAACATTAGAAGCTCTTCCTGTTCTCCTCAAGTTTTCCATTATTAATGAGATCTGACTCACCTGTGGCTAACTGAGTTATTCTTGTCCCTCTCCCTCGGGGTTCCCTGACTGATCCATGGTTAATGGGATTATTCTCCTGTGGGATTGGGGGAGGGGTGTCCTTGACTGAACCATGACTAATGGGGGTGTTCTAGTCCCTCTCCTGTGGGATTGAGAGTCCCTGACTGACAAGTAGCTAATGGGGTTAATTTGGTCTCTCTTCCCAGTTCCCGTCACCCTGGATCCAAGTTACAAACACTCTGAATGCACCGTGTCTGAAGATGGCAGAACAGTCCAACACAAACCCCCTTCCCCAGGGCCGGCTTCCCCCTCCGGTGCCCTGATAGCTGTGGGGAGGGAGGGATTTTTGGCCAGGAAGGATCATGGTGGGGAGGGTGTGGTTTGCAGGGGGTACTGGGAGGTGGAAGTAGGGAACAGCCCGGACTGGGAGCTGGGGGTGCTGAGTGAGACTGTGAGGGACAAAGTAAGGCAGGGGAGTCTGGAGAGACCCCCTGAGGGGGGGTTCTGGGCTCTGGGGAAATCCAAGGGGGAGTATCACCCCCAGAAGGCTGACACTGTGATACAGAACTGGGATGAGACGCCGACAGTGGTTGGGGTGTATCTGGATCTAGAAGGGGAGAGTCTCTCCTTTTATAGTGTCCGTGCAATGGGCCTTATTCTGGAGATTCCTGTGGAAAGTTCTGATAAAGTATACCCGTTCCTCAGCCTTGGTTACACTGCAGGGGGGTACCAGGGGAAACCCCTCAGCATCTGCCCTCCCAGCGACTGGGATTTCCCTCAGAAATTACCAGTCAGTCCGCCTGTTAATCAGGGAACTCCCAAAACCCAAGGACAGCCTCCTGCCCCCAACAATAGGGAAGAGGCAGGAAACAACACAGGGCCATCTGCAACAGAAGAAACATCCCCAGCTCCTGGACAGCACCCTGCTTTTGTAAACCAGAATGTGAAAGGAAACAGTGCTTGGTCATCTATGGTCAAAAATTTGCAAAAGTCCTTCCCCTACCCAAAAAGGAGAAAGGGGGATAAAACAGAAGAAGAAGGGGGGGAAGAAACACCAAATCTCGAGATCTCAAAAGCCCACCTGCAAAAACCCCACCTGCCAAAAGCCCTCTCACAGAGTAAAAGGAATCAGAAAGAGAAAAACACTCAGAACATGAATCCAGAGGAAATCTCTGAAGCTGACACTCTTGTTCTGCAGATTTCAGAGTCAGGAAATATGACAGGGGAATCAGATCCAAATGCTGACACCTTGAAAATAACCTTGCTTCAAAGAGAGTCTGGAAATGGTGACACTTCAGATGTTTCCTCCCCCTTGAATTCAAAGGAAAACTGCAGTGATTAGTGATAATGCATTTAAAACTCACACTAATTAAATAAAAAGGTGTTACTGTTAAGGTTAGGAATTTAAATACACTAAAGTCAGGAAATGCAGAAGGGAAGGTTCTTACAGTCACATCTGATCAGCTGGTGCTACCCTTATTTGGTGCGGTACTCAGTGTGAGTGGATGATAGAATGAAGCCCCTCACTTTGCAGGACCAGAGTCTGATATCCCTACTCATGTGGAATAACACCTTATTCCAACATCAGTCCTATTGACCTCAGTATGACCACTCATGGGATAAGGTATCATGCAGCATGAATACAGAAACAAGATTCAGGCCAGTCATAAACACTGTGTGTGGATGAGTTAATGTTACTCAGAGAACTTTACCTTTTGCACTTCCTTACTTATGTCCATTTACATACCCAGTAAATAGGACCAACATGTTTCAGAAAGGGAGAGAAGGTGCATGGACCACTGCTTCACATGCTGTTGGGGTGTCAATGGACATTTGCTTACTTTGACACCCAAATAGATAAATGTGGATGCAAATGGCTAATTTACAGTTGCAGCTGTGGTAACTGCATGTGTGACTGCTAGTGCACAAATGCATATTTTACAGGGAAAGTGAGCCTCTACCTTTGGGAAATTTGCCCATAATGTTATACTTGGATTGTGTGTATAATCTTCCTGTTTATCACACTTAAAACAAAAAGAAAGAAAATGCCAGTGCTATGTTGCATGCAGCTATGAAACTGTAAAGCCTTTGGCTTTCTGTGTACTGGGGGTAAAAATGTCAAAAGTGCCTAGGTGAGTTAGGATCCTAAGTCCCTTTTCAGAAGTGACTTAGGCACTTAGGCTCAGATCTTCAAAGCTATTTAGGCACTTAGCTCCCATTGAAATCAACTGTAGCCAGATCCTTAGGCTCCCAAAAGTCTATTACTTTTGAAAAGGGGACTTACTCTACTAAATCATTTAGGGTCAGATTTTTAAAGGTATTTAGGTGCCTACCTCCCATTTCAATAAACACCATTAAAAATCTGACCCTTTTGAAATGTTTTCACTATACCTTTAAATGTTTAAGAACACGCCTTGCATACTGAGTTGAGTAGCTGTTTTGTAGAGGGTCCTGGCAGCTAATACCCAAGGAGACCTCTGCACGCTTGCACACACACATACACACACACAGTGCTCTCAAAGATACATTACTTTTGTTTTCTCTTCTTGTTGTTTTCTTTAATCAAAAACACCCTGGAGGTGTTTGTGGGGTTTTTTTTTGTGTGTGGAAACATACAAATTCAGGCAATGAGGATGGGAATGTAAAGCACAAGGAAGAGCTCATAGAAAGTGAGGAAGCCATGAAAAAATATCCTAAATAGAAACAAAAGAGAAAAAGAACATAATGGAAATATAGAGTCTGCAGGTTAACGAAGTAGAGGCAATATCTGAAATATAGGTTCATAGGCTTGGTCAGTATTTTCATGTAAATATTATCAATATGTTCCAAAAACAAACTTCTAGCTAGAAAAGGAAATAAATGGGATAGGAATAAATAAATAATCTAAAGCAAAGATAAAGAAAAAAACTTGGGGGGTGGGGGAGGGGTGGGGAAAGAGTCTGTTGCCTTTATTGTATTGTGGTATTGTAATCAAAAGAGTAAGGTTTAATTTGATGGTTTTATTGTTTCTACATTAAATATGAAGAATATGCCTTTGGTTTACAAAGTTTTCCTTTTTTACTTTCAGTGTTCTAATAAAAATATAGTTGATGTGGTCAGGTTTATTTTCATGCTATTTTTAACTGAAGCTCGGGTACAAAATCTATATATTTCAACTGAAAATTAAATTAAAACTCACCACCACCATCAAAAAAACCCTCACTTTGGGTTTGACTTCACCAGGATAAAAGGCATGTTTTTAAACTTCTGTTAGCTCCCTGTGTTAAAACCCCAGTGTAGACAGGGCAATTTGTATTTTAACACATGTTAGCTGGCAGGGGTTGACCCTAGGGGGAAGCCCAGGCTTTATCTTGATGGGTTTAACATGTTTTAAAGGCACATGGCCCTGTGTAGACTAGATTTTTAAAATGGGTTAGTGCTGTGTCTTTGATGTCTACACAACATTAATAATATGCAGAAATCACAGGGACTCAACTCGGTTCCATATAACCATGTTTATTAACTGTTTACAGATATACATGCCTAGCTGCCTATGTCTGCTGCTGCTCTGGCAAGATTCTGGGGGCTATAGCAATAGAAAACAGGGAGATCAACTAGTGGGCCATTTAAAGGGATATTACTTAATTTCTATACACTACATCCTCCTGCACCTTCAGCGTGACAGGCATACAAAAATATATATACAAATGTACTGCTTTGAAAACTATGATTAGTAATACACAACAGGCTAGTAATTCAGTCTGAGAGGTGGTTTATGACTTCTATCTGGATAGCATCTCATAGGCATCACAGCAACTCCCTGCTGTATAGCCTGAGGGTTATTTGTAGTAGGAAAAGGGCCAGGAGGCTCACAGCTGCTATCACCAGTCACTGTCTGTGGCTGTACTGTAGGCTTGTTGTTTTCAACAGGCATCACTGCTGTAGAACTGCCATACGTAACCACCTGAATATGAGTTCTCAGTGCAATGCTGTGACACAAAGGACAATGCAACCCTTGGATGTATATTAAGGGGAATATCAAGCAGAAATAGGGATTTTGCTTTCATAGACAGCCTTGATAATATCGCTACTAGAATACAGTGTCCAATTCTGGTGTCCACACTTCAAGAAGGATGTGGAAATACTGGAGAGTGGTCAAAGGAGGAGCCATAAAAATGATCCGGGGTCAGGAACTCAAGCCTTATGACATGAGAGTCAAGGAGCTCAAACTATTCTGCTTATCAAAGAGAAAAATGAGAAGTGACTTGATCACTGTGTCTAGGTCCTGACACATAGAAAAGAGATCTGAGAGCAGAAAGCTTTTTCACCACACCAACAAAGGCAGAACACAAGCCCATGGCTGGAAAGTGAAACTAGACAAACTCACCCTTGAAATATGATACAATTTTCTAGCACTGGCTGTGATTCAACATTGGAGCAGCTTCCCAAAAGAAGTGGATTCACTATAGCTTGGAGTCTTTAAAACAAGATTAGATATCTAAAAGATCCACTGTAATTCATCTGCTGGGAGAAATTCTGCAGCCCCTGTAGGCAGGAGGTCGGGCTGCATGGTCCTGGTGATCCCTTCTGGATTTGGAGTCTGTGAATCCATTCCTACCCTTCTGTCATGGGCCATGGGGAGAACAGGAACCTCTACAATGCCTTCAACATGCTCAAAACACTGCAGCTCTGCACTGTGACAAAGACTATTATCAAATCTCAGGCTTCAGTGCTCTAGCTGATTGCCTGCAAGGGTAAGAAAGGATTTCCTCCTCCCCAGAGCACAGTTGGCTAGATGTGTTCTGGATTTTTGTTTTGTTTGGGAATTTTTTTTTGTTTGCTTGCTTTTAACTTCCTCAGAATCATCAGAGATTGGCCACTACTGAAGATGGGACACTGGACAGGATGGGCAGTGCTCTGAGATGGCACAGGGTATCCTCTTTCTAGATGTCTGGTTCGTGTATCTTGCTCACATGCTCAGGATCACCAAATTTGGGCGGTCAGGAAGAAATTTCTCCCACCACCACCTAAAACTGGGATTTTTTTCACCTTCCTCTGCAACATGTGGCATGGGTCTTGAGAAGATTATCTGTATATATCTCGCCTAATCCATTTCATGCCATCACGGGGTCTTTGGGCATTGATGCATGTTGGTCTCTCCTGTCCTCTGCCTGTGGAACACAGCAGTTTACTCCCATGAGGACTGAAAGGCTAAAGCATTAGCTAAAGTCTTTGGGCTCAGTGCAGAGCTGGACACTTCCAAGGATGCAACAGAGCTTGTTTAGGTATGGATTGCATTTGCTGACCACCTTTAAATTCTTTTCAGAGTAGCAGCCGTGTTAGTCTGTATCCGCAAAAAGAACAGGA